TGGGCAGGGTCACCCAATGAAGCCGCATCGCATTCGAATGACGCATGCCCTTCTCGCCCATTATGGCTTACTCCAACATATGCAGGTTTTTAAGCCTGTTCCTGCAAGGGATAAAGTCCTCTGCAGATTCCACGCTGATGATTATGTGGCGTTCCTTAAAAATATTACACCTGAAACGCAGCAAGACCAGCTCAGGCAGCTTAAGCGCTTCAATGTCGGTGAGGACTGTCCTGTCTTCGATGGCCTCTACTCTTTCTGTCAAACTTATGCTGGTGGATCTGTTGGTGGTGCCGTTAAGTTAAACCATAAGGTCTGTGATATTGCTGTCAATTGGTCTGGTGGGTTACACCATGCAAAGAAGTGCGAAGCTTCTGGGTTCTGTTATGTCAATGATATTGTTTTGGCGATACTGGAGCTCCTTAAACATTATGAGGTTGGTGTAGACTGAGAAATGTTTTCCTTTCTATTCCTTTCCCAAGGCTTGCTTTATAATTAAACATTTTTAAACCTTGAATTGGGATAACGTAAAGATCTTGCCCAAAATTTGTACTTGTCCTTTAATCACCATCACCATGGTAGTATGGTTCTGGTTTAAGTAAATTAGTACTGGGATGCGATCATGACAATTTGTGATGTTATTATTTTCTGCACGTGATTCTGGTACTTTTGTATTTGCAGCGTGTTTTATATGTTGACATTGATATCCACCATGGAGATGGTGTTGAAGAGGCTTTTTACACGACTGACAGGGTCATGACCGTATCTTTCCATAAATTTGGAGATTATTTTCCTGGTACAGGTGATATAAGAGACATTGGTTATGGAAAAGGAAAATACTACTCCCTTAATGTTCCTCTGGATGATGGAATTGATGATGAGAGCTATCATTTCTTGTTCAAACCAATAATGGGAAAAGTTATGGAAGTTTTTAAACCTGGTGCTGTTGTTCTCCAATGTGGTGCTGACTCTCTTTCTGGTGATAGGCTAGGATGCTTTAACTTGTCAATAAAAGGTCATGCAGAGTGTGTTAGATATATGAGATCATTCAATGTGCCTCTGTTGCTGCTTGGTGGGGGCGGCTATACCATTCGTAATGTTGCTCGCTGCTGGTGCTATGAGGTAAAGTTTTGATTTCAAATAATGATTTTTGTTTGAGCAAGTATCAATTGGTTCTCGTATATCTTGTTAGTCAAATGCAGTTATGATTTATGCTTATGTCATTTTGAAAGAGGAAGGGGTATGAAGTAGAAGCATCGTGCATTTCATGACTCAACCATATGACTAATGTGTCCCAAGTCTTCACAATATAATATTTATCTTTAGTTCATATGACACCAGTCAATTATATCTGAACACTTTATTCCATAAAGTTTGTGGTTGACTTCTCTCGAGAGCACACATATTGAAGTTTCTTGCCAGTGGAGACATTCCTTTTAATCCATCTCATTTCTTTCCTGTTATAACATTCCTGTGTTCCAAATTAGAGCAAAGATTCATGTGGAGAGAGTTCATAAACTCTAAGACTTCATAACTAACTGTGTAGTACGTTTTACTCTTTTTGTGGTGAGGTGTTGAGAATTTTTACGAAGTCATATTTTCCTTGTTACTAGATTGTTATTGTAATGAAAATATCTATATCAATTTTTTTACTGGCTGTTTGGCCATATTCTCTCATGTAAGGCAGACAGGAGTTGCACTTGGGGTGGAAGTTGATGACAAAATGCCACAGCACGAGTATTATGAGTACTTTGGTCCTGATTACACTCTGCATGTTGCTCCCAGTAATATGGAGAACAAAAATTCACACCAGATGTTGGAAGAAATACAGGGAAAGCTGCTTGAATACCTTTCAAGGCTTCAGCATGCACCCAGTGTTCAGTTTCAAGAAAGACCTCCTGATACTGAACTCCCGGAGGTGAGTTAACATACTATAATTTGTTTCATTAGCTTTCTCCTCTTTAGATTTTTCCATTATTTGCCTGTTGTCACGCACATAATAAGATGTAATTTGAGTTGTTCAATTAAATGAACACTGTAGGTATAATTTTCAACTTATAACAAGACAGTATTTATTGATCTCATACATCTCATATAAGGTCACCAGCTTTGTAAATTATTCTTCATGATGTAGCTTGCACAGTCGCACTATTGTACTCTGATCTGATGTCTCTTTTATGTCAAATGAGTCGCATGTTGGTTTTTCACTTTTTTGTATTACTTTTCCTTGTGCCTCTTAGCTGACCTGTATACCCTTCAAAGCCTTTTTTTTTTTTGCTCCATATGCAAGTAGATCCAATGTGACTATGCGGTGTTGCTTGTAAAATGGTAATCCAGGTTCCATATGACAAATCTTTATACTTTAAAGCTACAAAATCCATTCCTTTTCTCACTTCTTTGTTGATTCTTAGGAAATAGGAATTGAATTTTACTTGGGAACCTACCTGATGAATCACTTCACTGGTAGTCAACTCCTGTACTCTAACTATTAATATAATCTTCAGGCAGATGAAGAGCAGGATGATAGGGATGAGAGATGGGATCCAGACTCTGACATGGAAGTTGATGATGAGCGGTATTTCATCTTGTCCCTGAATTTTCCATTTTATTTTATTTTTCAATCCCTTGCATCTTAACTTCTGCTTTCACTTGCTGTTTGGACAGGAAACCTATGCCAAGCAGAGTTAAAAGAGAAATGGTTGAGCCTGAAATCAAGGATCAGGTATGCTCTAAATTCAAGTCAATGTGTGATGTCCTATGTTTGTTCATTCCCACGCTGTGGATTGCATTTCCTGCTTCAAGTTACTGTTGACCACATATATATTTCCTGCCATTGTTGACTACTCATGAACATTTTGCATGCTCAATTTACCCCCTTTAGTTTTTTTTTTTTTTTTTTTTTTTTTTTTTGAGGTTGACTGTTGACTATATGTGAGGATGAGAATTCGAAACTCTGATATTTTGGTCGAGGATATATGTGTTAATTAGTTGAGCTATGCTCAAGATGCCTATCCCATTTACCCCATTTATCCATTCTCCAACTCTATAGCCTCTATCTAGTTGGACATCCTCCATTTCACTCTGTTTGAAGTTTAAATTGTAGTCTCAGCTTTTCTCAGCAAGTGAGATACATAAAATCGAGGAGATTTAATTTGCATTCTTACTTTTCCTGCATGATTTTTGATTCTTTCATGGTTGTCTAAAATTTTTTTAGGAAGTCAATGCGGAAAGTGCAAGAGGTTTAGAAAAAGCAGCAGCTGAGGCTACAAGCGCAAAGGTGAAAAATCTCCGAAAGCCATGAAAAGCTGTATCTTTTACTAGTTTTCAGTACTCGAAGGGAAAAAAAGACAGGAAACATCACTTTCTCATAAAATTGATAGTGTAGAAGGTACTGAAATAGGGAAAAAAATCACTCTTAAAGGCCTTTTGCAATTACTCCCCACTTGAGTGGTTTCTGTAAACCCCCATGTCTTCGAGGAGTGTTCTTCTCTTGTACCTTCCATTCCATAATCTTTTATGATAAATTTTCTGTTTCCGGAAATGACTCGTCATCTTTTGTCCTCATTTGTTTATATGTTTACACTGCACTTGCAGGCTTTAGATATAGGTTCTCTGAAAATCGAAGAGCCAGGTGTAAAACTCGAAGAGACCAGCAAGCAGAATGATCAAATGTTCCCTTAGTCTTTGAAAAGGGGTGGTGAGGGAGGGATCAAACACAAGAACGACCGACTCCAAGTAAATAGAGGTGACTTTTGACATTCTTTGCTGCACAGATTTTTTAGACTTGTATTCTTGGTGTAAGAACGAGTGAGTCGTGAAAATCCTGTCGTGCCTTGAGTATGTGTATAAAAGTCGGGAGTTGAGATGTAGTAACTTGTTATTTAGACCAGGTATTGATGATTTGCTTAATGTTATGGTGGGATTGGCAACCTTGACATGTTATTTATACAGAGGTTTCCCATGTAAATCACCTTGAAGGAGACTAGAGGTTTCTGAATTCTGCAGGTCATATGACTTTAGCTAATTAATTTTTAATTCTTAGTTCAACTCACTGAGACATTTATTCTCGTCCAAATGCCTAGAGGTTCGAATTTCCATTCTCAAAAGTTATTGAATTAAAAAAATGATAGGAGAATTAGGAGAGTGTCATTTAAGCTTCAGAGTAATGGAGAATCCTTTTGGATGGGGACAAAGTTTTCACACATCTCCGAACCCAACTTTAGAAAGTATATAATTAAAGGATAGTTAAAATATAGTTTTAGCTTTGAAGTTTATTTTCGAATCTAATATAGTTTTCAGTTTAGAAGGTACTATTTTTGCCTCTTATATTTTATTAAATTCCAAATTTAGCGCTTGCTTTCTTTTTGTTAAATTTTTAATAGAAAAAAAAAGACTCGTATCATGCTGGATGTTTAATTATATAAAGATTTTTCTAATTTTTTTCTCTTGGTGAGTGATACCTCCATTGCGTCTTTGTTTTTTGTTTTTTGTTTTTTTTTGGTACAGTAAATATATGAATGAGAGGTTGAATCTCCAACCCCTGGGAGAAATCGTTGAGTTATGTTTATGATATCACCAATGTGTTTTTCCTAAAAAAATCAAGTGGGAATGTTAATTAACATTAAATTAATTTATATCATTTTTAATATTTATAACTTAAATTTTAACAATAAAAACTGAATTTAGAGTGGGTAAAAGCACTAACTAATTGATTATGTATACATATAGTAGACTTATATATTATTTTTTATTTTCAGCTTTTGATCTATGTATTTCTAAAAGTAATCATTTTGGTACTTCATTTTTTACCACACTCAATACATTTTTAAAAATAACTTGGAGTTTTGTTGTGTATATAATTCATATTAAATTTTGTGAAGAAATAATAAAATGACCATTTTCAAAAGTATAATAATAAAAAATGGCACAAAGATTGTAATAAATTAAAGTTGAAATATTTGAAAAGCAGGAAGATCAAAATGAACCAACGTAGAAAGTATATGACTAAAATAGTATTTAAAGTAGGGTTAGAATACACAAGACCCTGGAGAAGAAGAAAGGAATGAGTGAAAAAGAGTCTTTTTTAAAAAAATTTATTATTTATTTTAAGGATAAAGGGGTTGGGGTTTTGGGAGTGGATATTGTTGGTATTCCATCTACGCTGTCACTGTTACATCAAAAAGAAAAACCAGAAAACGGTCAACGGTCAGTATCTGTGACTCTCGTATTGTTGCTGGGCAGTGAGCTCTGGTGGAATGGAACAATAAATAATGATAACTGTTACTGCACAAAGAATGAAGGATTTGGCCTGCCCCTGTCCCTGCCCCTGCCCCCCACTGGGCATTCTCTAAGCTAAGCGCTGCTATGGAGTCTGGACTGTGGGCGCCTAAGCGCTGCTCTGCTCCACTTCTGTTTTGGTCTCTATGGTCAAAAACTCTCACCCCAGGGATTCTCTTGTTGCAAGAATTCTACATCAACCAATCCGCCAACCACAAATTACAGAATATCATATCATATCATAATCAAAGAAAAATAAAATTAACGAAATTTCTGGAGGTGACAATTCGATTCGAACAATGTTGTGTTTTTTCTTTTCTTTGAGTTCACTAACTTCACTTCCATATAATATAATTGTGGTTAGAGTTGATAACGTACCTGCAAGTGAGATCAATATACTCCCACTCTAAAACACCCACAAGGTAACCCATTTGATCTTTCACCACTGGAACTTGGGTCACACCAAGCTTCTTCATGATCATTCTAGCTGTAAGAACGTCCATGCTCGGAGTAGCCGTCCACGGTACTCGACATATTTCGCCATCCAGTGAGCAAATCTCAGAAACTGCTGCCTCCTGCCCAACAAAATGAGTTGTCAAGTTCACATAGTTACAGAATGGATGAGCTAGAAGTATCTGTTTCAACAACTTCAGACTACACTTGATTAACTCATCTGAATTCGCCAATATTACCGAGACGATCGGGCGGGCTGGTTGCTATCGGGTGATTAGTGGAGAAAAGAATGGTGAGAGATATCAGCTATTGGTGTAAAACAGTGTCTCACCTTTAGCCGTTCGCTTCTTGATTTTGCATTTTTGCTTAACTTTTGAATGTCTTCAAGCGCCAATATGCCAATCAAAGTGTTCTCTTCATCCACAATCAATGCACAAGACTGCTTCTCGGCAAGCATGAGATTTACTGCTTCTACAAGGAAAGTGCCCATCAAGACGGTAACGTATCTCGTTGTCATGGCTTCGGACACAGATATTTTCCTTTCCAACTCTACAATATCACTATCAGAATCGTATGCGCAAAGTGAACTTTCAATTTCACAGAGATCATTTTGGTTAGTTGCCTTTCCATCATCCGCATAATTGGAAGATTGGTCATTTGCATTACTATCATATGCAGTAGATTGTCGAGTACCGAGACTTCTTTCCAGAGGGAGTTTCTTTGTCTGCTGGGAAGTTCTTTTCCTTTTCTGCCCAGATGTTATCCACGACGACACCCCCACGGCTCCAAGTAATGGAAGAACGATTCGGTAGTCCTGTGTCAACTCAAAAAGCAACAAAACGGCAGTAAGAGGCACCTGACAAACCCCTGCAAGAGTAGCAGCCATTCCAACCTGCAATTAAACCCACTTTGTTTTTTGAATATTCAATGCAACTGCTGGTCAACAGAAAAATGCAGGTATAAGAAAACAAAATAATAATCAGGACTATACAGGCATTCACAGACTAAAAATCTAGCAATATGTATGTATCTACTTAATGAATAAATCAATGCAATTAGTTGGCTTGCAAGGACAATTATGACATGCTAAGAAGTAATTTGCAGATGCTAGGGGGGAAAAGAGAACTCACCCTTTTAGCTAGAACTAAGGTTCCCATCATAAAAGCATCTAAAGGTGTCATATGCTTGACTATGGTTTCAATCCCGTATAACAAACACAAGAATCTAGACGTCATTATTGCAGATATTGCTGAACAAAATTAGAAAAATAAAAAACAGTACTATATTAGTTTAGACTTGGATTACCCTATGTTTCTAAAAGGAGCTCTTGACATCTAACGTTTTATGGAAGGTTCAAAACCTCAGTAAGAAACGAGGGAGATGCAATTTATATGTGTTGAACCACAAAAATGAGTAAAACTATGAGATTTAAGGCATGAAACGATATATAACAGTACCAATCCATATGCTTGTGGTGATGCCACTTCGAAAATGGAGATGTCAATTATAGGGTTGGCGTCAGAAACTGCAATGCCAATGAATTTCCCGTATGCCATTCCTGTTGCAGCACCAATAAACAGGGATGGCGCATAGTACCCTCCCACTAGTCCAGAGGCTCTGCACAAAGAGGTGGCCAAAATCTTGATGACAACAAGCTGGGCCAATAAATCAGCTGAGAGTCCTTTCACAAATGGCCGAGATTCCAACAAAAGATCGACGTTCTCAAAGCCCCAGTACAGAATTTCAGGATATGCCAAGGCTATCAGTCCAGTAGTGAAGCCACCTAGAACGGGAAACAAGGCCCTCGGAGCACCGAAGTCCTTATGAAATTTGTCGATGGTTGCAAGCATATAAGATGTGCATTTAGAAAAGCTCAATGAAACCAAGCCACAGAGGACACCCAACAACAGATACAGTGGAAGCTCTGAAACGAGTTAAATAGCTCTTATAGACAACTTGATTGTCAAATATAAACCCTAAAAGAGAGAGATGGATCAATTATTTTATGTGACAGCATTGATTTTCAAACTGAAACTATTGGTTTACCACTTGGTGAGCGAAAATCATATTCTGGGACCTTGAATGCTGGTTCAACTCCAAGACCAACTTGTGAAACTACAGAAGCTATTACAGCACTCAATATAACCATTGAAGTGGTGTTTGTGAGAGAAAGAGTTGAATCTGCAGGAGATGGCCATAAAACTGACTCGACAGCAAAGAAACAGCCAGCAACTGCAGCATTAAACCCTGACAAAATAGAATAGAAGCTTCAACAGATGAAACAGTAAAGGGTTCAGAGCCATCACCGACTAAGTACAACTGCATAAGAATTTTGGACGAATTTACTTTAGGAACAGAACATGAGAAGAACAAATGTCTCATTGTTCTATCACGACCCACCAAACATTTGAAGGAAGAAAAGCTTGCCAATCATTACATTTAAGATTAGCAACATTCCTATTATGGAGGCAAGGTAAATTTGATTGCAGAAATTATTTTTTATCAATCAACTAACAAGCACATTACAGATAGAGATCGAACCAGATGAGATTCCAGCTGCTGATCCTGCAGCTATCAAAGAAAGCTTTGTTTGAGAATTCTTGTCAAACACAGAAGAAATGCCTTTGCCGACAGAAGTACCAATGTCGACGCTCGGACCCTCGGGTCCCAAAGAGTTACCAGTACCAAGCGTTATAGAAGCAGCAATGGCCTTTAGGAAAGGTTGCAATGCAGCCTTGAATTTATTAGATGTGGAAAGTGGGACTCCAAATTTTGCGGAAGAACCACCCTTTTCAGGTCGGTCCACTTGAACATCAGTAGCATCTCTAAGCAGATTCAAGAAGCTAACAAGAAAACCCCCACAAGCAGGAACCAATATAACTCGTTTCCATATGTCTTCCACGGGCATTTCTCTTAACCAAGACGCTCCTCTATTAGGAATTCCATCCCAGAAAAAACCACGTATCTCATGCACCTTCAATTCATTCAAAATAACAATGAGGCAATCAGCAGAGGAATATTCTCAAATTTCGTAGTTTGATTATGCGTAGAATAAAACAACGAAAGTGACAGAGAAATTGAAGAAAAATGGAGGTGTACGAAGTACTGCGTTATTGAAGAGCACGACACCGATGCCCGTAAGAAGACCAACGAAACACGACGATATTATGGTGGAACTCCCAATTCCAGAGGGAATACCTTCTTCTTCTTCTTCTTCTTCTTCTTCTTCTTCTTCTTGTCCTTCTTCCACTTCTTCGCTCCGTTCTATTCTCGTCACCGACGGCACGCCGTCGCCTCTACTCAACCGGGCATCGCTGCTAACAGGGGATTCAGATTCTCCACTTCCGGGCAGAACACAAATTGACCTAAAAAAACGTAACCCAGTTCGTTTGCAGCGAAGAGAATAACGAAGACCCAATACAGAGCCACAGCTGCTACCACCCACTCCAAAAATTTCCGCTCCATTAGAGATAGGGTTAGTGGGGTTATTGGAGGGAGAAATTGGGGAAGAGAAGGCGAGAGCTGAGAATTTGGGGCAGAGAGAAGCAGAAGAGGGAGGGGAAAGAGGAGGGTAATTATGAAGCCTTATTCCTAGAGAATCGAAAGCCGCCATTGTTAAGCCTTGCAGTAGAGTTCCGTGTAATCTGAAATATAGGTATCCAGACAATTTTGAGTGGATAAGTTTCGAGACCAAGCGCCTCACCAACTAAAATAACGGCTCCCTGCCCTCTGAAGAGCTATTATTTTCACTAGTCTTCGTTTAAAATAAAATTCTATGCCCGACTTATAAATTATTTTTATTCATGTTTTAAAATAATTTAAAATAGATTGTTTCTAAAATTTAAATTTTTATACAAATTTTGAGAATATTTACAAAATAAAAATAAGAAATATAAATAATTGTCTAGTGCTTAGGTTTTTTAAAGAAATTGAAAACGAGAAACAAGAAATATGAATATTACCGAATCCTAATTTTAAGTCTATTGTTTCTCCTTTTCAAATTTTGAGAAATTGATAATTGCTCCAATTTCTTGTTTCTTATTTTTAATAAACGATTTCGAAGTCACGTAAAATCTTAGAAATAACAAAACCAAGTTTATTGTTTATGTTTTTTTTTTGTCAAAAATATAAATAAAAACATTATTTTATTATTCTTGACTTATAAATGCATAATAAATATTTAAAAATAAATAAAAAAATTTTGAACATTTAATTTAAAAATTCTTATCATAAAAATGATTTTCTTTCTTAAATTTAAAACTTTAAAGATTTATAAATAAAAAATGGTTACCAACATATTTCTTGATTTTTTTTTTCAGAAATAAGAAATAATCACCGTATGTTTTTATTTACTAAAAAAATTAAATGATATCAAGAAACCGGAAATAAAACGATGAAACCTTTATGCCCCTCACTTATTTTATTTTTTTACAGCAAAAATGACTTTATTGAAATGATCAAATATGTCATTCACTAGTTGAACTATATTTAAGTTAGAAAATTAGTATTAATGATTGAGTAAAATAGTACTTTTAAGTTGAGTTTTTTAGTACAACATGTGGAGGTGGGAGATCGAACTGCAACATCTTGATTGGAGATATATGTCAATTATCGCTAAACTATGTTCATTTTGGCACTTTTAAGTTGTGTTTATAATTAGTTTAACTGACTTAAATTCATATGCATTTGTCAACATGACGAGACAATATTTAATTCTTCAAAAGTTGAAAGTTTGAGCACCCTAGAATATTGGTGTAGTGGCAAAAGAATACCGGCCAAGGTTCAGGTTGAAACACTCCTGTGTCTAGAAATGAAAAGAAAAAAGAGAAAAATAAAGGTGGAGGTTGGAATCCATCCACTAACAAAATTATTATTATCATTGAACACCAAACAATTTCCAATAGTTTTATTCAGATACAAATTATACAATCTTTGTATAAATAAATCAAGTCAACCTCCAAAAGTAAAATGAAAAAAAAAAAAAAAACTTTCATTTTGGGACTTGACCAAGTTCTTGATCTCTCAAACCACTCTCCTCTACCCCCTCCTTCAACATCATCAATTCCTCATCTGAAAGTTGGCTCTTTGTCTGAGGAATGATCACTCCATTGGCATTGCCTTGCTTCTCAATCTCAACTGCCCAACTATAAACCACCATCCCAACAATGGCAACAACCATCCCTGATATGTTTTTCAATGTCATCTCTGAGTCAAAGAGCAGCCACCCCAATGTCAGCACGCATACCGTCTTCATATGGCCTAAAACCTGGAACGACACCGCCGAGAATCGCCCGATGCACAGGTACTGACTGATGTTGCAGAACACAGCCAGGGAGCATGACAGTAGAATGAAACACTGCAACATTTCATTAAGGATTATTGATATATATGCCCGGTTGAACTTCGAAAGCAAAAGCAAAACGAATACGGGACTCGAAAGAGAGATCGGAAGAGCGACGACTTACAAATGCACCAGAAGTGTAGTTGTATTTCGATAGAGGCTTGCCAGTGAGGCAGTAGTCAATGAATGGGCCAACTGTGAGAAGGGAAAGGGCTTGTATGGGGGCTGTCTTGCTTAGTAATTCAAAGGATCCTATTGAGTACTTCTTCTGTAATGAACCTATTGACTGTTGCAATAAAGCGAAAGTGTCGAGATTCATGACGTTTTCGAAATCGAGTACTTGAAATTTGAATGCTGAATCTGAAGTGATTTCATAGGGAGAAAGGAGAATGCTTACAATTTGTTGGAGTGATGTGCACAAGACTGCTACTGAGGCACAGAGAAGGCCTTTGGCATTGACTTTCACATCAGTCACTGTACAGACTCCTACACCGACAACGACCACGGAAACGGCCATCTTCACTTCCCTTGAGTAGTGTTTGCCATGGAGAATCCATTCCATTATGCAGACCACGGGAATCATGCTTAATTTCGATATCTGCAAGCGCATAAGAGGGCGACAAAGTTCAGTTATTGTTGAAGATAAAGAGCCATGATAAAGTGTTGGAAGGATATATCAATCAAACCTGATAAAATCCAACAGAGTTTAACATGAGGCTGAAGTTCATGGCTGCTATCGACGTGTTGGCGATAATCGAGAACCAAAGAAGCTCCCAGAAGGGAACAGGCTTGGATTCCGAATAGCCGGTGGCGTTTGAAATCCAACCAACCAATGCAGTTACAGAAAAATGAAATCCAGTTAAGGTTGTAGCTGAAACACAAGATGAAAGCCTTGGATCAGAGCAACAACTAATTGATGAAATGAAAGAGATACATTATAATTTCAGTTTGCTCTCCAACACACACTCAAATGAGATTATCATTTTCATGCTGTTCATTCATCATTTATTGAGAGCTCCAGTAATCCGCTCCATTCGATCAATGGGCGATCGGTAGCTGGTGCTTTTGGCTCCCTGAAAATGGAACTTTTCAAGTCCATTTTCCACCATCTTATCAAAACATACTCCTTTTCCTTCCTTTTAGTGTTCTACTCTCTTCATCAAAAGGGAAACCAGTAATACTAAGCTTTCAATGTAGTTGGATCTACATCTACAATCCAAACAGCTAACTGAACGAGAATTGTAAGAGGGGGTGGGGGCAAAAGAGTGCAATATGTAATTAATGTGCGATCTCTCAAGTAATAGAAATTGACGTTAACGATTTTTGTTTCTAGTGTTCTGTTCTCGGCCGGACAAATCTTTCGAATGCAAGACTTATGGTAATGAAATTTGAACTAAACAGAGAAAGAAGAGATACAAACCAAAGGTAAAGGCAAAGCCAGTTTGGGACATGAGCTGCTTATTGGCCATGATAATGCCCACTGAGCTGATAATATTCATACCCCAAGCTCCAACATCTGATACAGAGGATGACTTTCTCTCCTCCATGAACTTTTTCTTCTTCTTCTTCAAATCCAGATCAAAAAATTTGCTGCTTTTGGGGGACTTATCTTTGTTCAAAGATATTGCTCCCAAATTCATAAGAAAAGCAGCTGATAAATCCAAAAGGCAAAATTTAGACCAAATGAGAACTGAAAGTCAGAAGATGAGAACTGAATTTCATTAATTACTATTTTGGGTCAGCTCACCATGTTTTTAAATCCTCAAAGTTTGGATCTTTCTCCGCCGAAATTGTTGTTGCAAAAAATCAAAAGTCCACTCTCAATGGAGCTAGTTAAAAGGGATTTTGCTGCATTTTGGGGCAACCAGCATGTTATCAATTTAAAACTTCAAACTCCCACGGATCCCAATGGAAGTTTTTTCGAGTTTCAAGAAATAATATCAAAGTTTTCTAAGGTGGAGTGAAGAAGGAGACGAAGTTGTTTTGCTTTTCAACCTTTACACTTCTGTTGTTCTCACCTTTACCAAAATTTTGGTTTTCTTCCAACATCCCAAAGAGCTTCCTGGCCTAGCCACTCAACAAAAAGGCTAGCATTTCCGGTTGCTATATGCAATTAATATAATAGACTTTTGTAAAAAGCTAAAGTACATGCTTCATTTAAACCTTGATAAAACTTTAGAAGTCCATCGACTTGCATTGTTGGCTAAATTTCTGACACACAAAATTATCTAACTTTGTAACTTATCTTTCTAATTTCTAGTTCATTGGGGCACGGAGGTTTGAACATTCGACCTAAGAATAGGTGTCAAGTACCATTGAACTATGTGCATTTTGATAGAGATAAGCTATGTTTAGAGAGAGATGGGTAGATATAATTAGCTTTAAATCATCTTAAAATTTCTGACTTCCAAATAGCCCCTAATGTTCCGAGTGCATAAGATTTTTCCTGCATTTCCATTTCCAATATTGAATGGGAGTAAAATAAAAGTATATCTATTGATCGAGTAATTGAATATTAATCAAGAGATTTACTCCAACTTTTTTCCTGGCTTCCTCCACCTGATGTCAAATATCAGCTACATAATGGAAAATTTTACACAATTTTTCTGTTTAGAGAAGGGGACAGTACTATGAAGTGAGAGAGAGATCAACAAATTGCTTCAGAAGATTAAGACATCTTTTTCTCATTATTATCACTGAGCGAGTAAAATATCTACCACCTAATTTGATTTTGGATATTATTGAAACAAAAGAAAGAATAGAACACAGGATACTCTTTTGTCTCAAGTAGCAAGACGGTACATAATCCCAGGCACAACGCGAATAACAAAAAGGCTCACAAAGCACACCTCATAAGAGAACGGATCTTGTCTCACTGACTAGTAGCATTCTAATGAAAATCACATAACGTAAATTAACTTATAACTTTGTCGAAAGTAGATAATCTAGCAACACTTAAATGCCCTGTGGTGTGCTCGAATTGTGGCACAAAGTATTTCCTGTGGCTTCAAAGTTACAGGAAAACGTCCTTCTCGAGCAATTTTAGCACTTCATGTTGGTTGTTTAGCTTGGCAACATCTATTGGAGTCTTTCCATCCAAATTTTGGAGAGTTCTGCAGGCAGAAAACGAGAAAATAGTAAAATAGTGAAGGAAAAGAGTATTAAGTACATTAATGTCATTCTATAGGCTGTTTGTTTACACTGCAGCGCCATTCTCAAGTAGTAATGCAACACACTCCTTCCGACCATAACCAGCTGCATAATGAAGTGCAGTGTTTTTATTCTTATCCAGTGCATCCACCTTCACTCCAGCCTCAAGAAGCACCTGAGCACACTTGGCCTGTTGGGAGGGGGGATTAGATCGGTCATGTCTCTTTGAAAGTAAGGCAAAATTTTCCAGATTCATGGTTGAATATACAAAAAAGGTGAATCCATGCCAAAAAACTTGCATTATAGGAAACTCACTGATAGCACATGTTACCCATACCATAAGTTGAATCCACAAAACAATTAAATACAAGCACTGCCTAACAGGAAGATCAAGTACTACCAATCTAGCAAATGATTATAATTCATAAACAGCCAGCTGTATGTTTGACAATGTTACTCAATCTAGAGCAACTACAGAAACCCTTTTTGCTGCCTCAACTGGTACCTAGGATTTGAGAGAAGGAATTCCGGGAACTGCCAAAATGAAATTTAGCCACAACTAAGTAGTTCAGTGCCCAAAACTTAGTTGTATCAGCACGAATGACGTCTTATCCACAATCCTGCTCAGCCATCCGTTCATGAATGATAAGGACATTCTACGGTTGCAAATTAACAAAGCCTTGTTTTGGACTTACGAAGACTCCACCCTCTCTCTTCATAGATTTATAAACAGTTATTTTACATGCTCTTAGCTGGTGTAAATTTCCCTCTTTTCAAATTATGTTGATATTTTGGCTAACTAGATGCTTTTAAGTTTTATGTAACCTCCATCAGCGTGGGGCTTTTCTGCCCTTTCTTTTGTGTATTTCATCATATCACTGAAATACCCGTTTCTTATCCCACAAAAATTGAAAAAGAAAAAAAGAAAATAAAGGGGTTGTATCAGCATTGATCCATACCTGAAGACTCTATCCATTACATTGCTTAGTTTGGCAAATTTAATCAAAATAGCACCAATTTTGAAGGAGGGGCAAACAATTTTAAAATATTTTTATCCCGTCATTATAAACATTTTACCCTCTCAAATTATGTTAATAACATTTAATATATGATTACCTTCTTTTTTATTTTTATTTTTTGGTAATGAGATAAGGTAGTTTGGGTATTCGTTGACTTAATTTATTGCAATCAAGCTCTATTTCTAAATGGTTATGAAGTACGCTAAATAACAAGGCTCCCTTTGGTGCGGTATTATTACTACTAGCAAGTTAGCAACCTTCTGGATGGTTCTCTCTTGATAAAAGAACTAGTACTAGAAGCAGTTGCCATTTCACGAAGAAACATCACTCATTAATGTATGCTTGGCTCACAGGTTTGGCAAGTTTAGATTTGTGGTGGGGAGTGCAGACTTGTGCAACATATGTATGTATTCTTCACAATAATGTGTTTTAGAAGATGGTGTTTGGTTGTTGCCGGGGTTTATGTCACAGATGGGATTAACAAACCTACAGTTACAGCTTTATTTAAACAAAATCACATACCAAGTGTAGGCTTGGAGTTCATTCAAAGCTTCTAAAATCCAACTTGTCGTCTCCTAATAGTTTAAAAGTTGAAAATGGAGAGAATAAAATTTGGTAGGTTGTTGATTAAAAAATGTCCCTGTAGCTGATTCTTATCCTCTTTATGTCATTGTTATAGGCAAATTTATTGCGATCTAAATGGTTATGGGATATCCAAATGAACAAGGCTCCCTTCAGGGGCAATAAATATATTAGCTCAAAAATTTTTTTAGATAAGATATATTAGCTCAAAAATAAATAATCAGAATATCAGCTATTCTAACTGGAATACTTATTATTGCAAGAAGTAGAGAACTGACTTAATCAGGAAACATCATTATATCATTCAGACTACTCTGTGTAGAACCATCATAAATCAAAGTACTTTCCAAGAGACAGATTTCTCAGTTGTCAATTAACACTGTCAATTTACCAGTAGTAAGAAGCCAAACGTGCTCAACATCCCAAGTACACAAGGATGCTCAAAAGTATTCAAAATGTAATGAAAATAAGGGAAAGGTTGGAAAGAAATTATCTGCCAGAAGCAATCGTACCTCACCATACCCACATGCAAAATGCAATGCGGTCCTTCCCTCTGAGTCTTCTTCATCCTTGTTCCCACCAGCTGCTAGTGCATTTTTTAATCCCTGAAAAAAAACGAAAACAAAACCAAAACCCGGATTAGATGTGTTATGATAAGAATGCTATCCCAAGTTAGGGATGGTATCGTGGCAACAAGGGTATATTAGTTATTAGCCAAAGAATTAATCATAAAGATATGATAAGGGGTGGGATGAGTGTGCAGGTAGGCAATTGTTTATTGGGTTTTGAGCTTGAGTAGGAATGTTCAAGAGGAAAGGATTTAAGTGCATTGAATTACTTGAGAGTTCTTCTACTGTTAAATTTCAAAACTATTATGGTGTCTTTATGGTTAAATGTTAATTAATTATAAAAATAGGTAAAGACAGCAGAGAAGAACATGAAAATGAAACAACGTAGATTAAAATGCAAAGATTTATGAAAGATGTTAATGTTACACTACTTGGGACGACTCTAGGTACAATATGCCTGTATATATGAGCCTGCATCTGATGATTGGGTTGCAATATTTCTTTCATATCAACACAATGAAAGAGGCCTTGAGGATAAAAAATTGTGATACATCATCATGTACCTCGACATCACCAACACTAGCAGTTTGATGAACTATAGACTCATCGTCATTTCCCACTTCTTCTGAATCATCCGCCGCAGAACTTTCAGCATTGGCTGCATCTCCATAAACTGCAAAACCCATTGCTTCGCCCAGCTTTTTCAAAACATCCCTGTCATTCCAGTACCTAAGAAAGCAAAACTTTCTCTCTTTAACATAAGGGTCTTTAGAATAGTAATACAAATTTGTTCCAAAAATTGATACAGGACTAGAAATAATTGATAATAAAAATCATGACCTCATCATGGCAGCTGGACCACCAGTCTCTATTTCATCCAAAATAGGCTTTAAAGTTGGATCTTCCTTGATTTGTGCCATTCGTTCCTCAAGCTGCTCCTTATTCGATGGATTTGCAAAAGTTTCCAGCATGCTAGACATGGATGGATCCTGGAAAAATGTAAGATTAAATGATTTCGTTCAGTTCACATGCTATAGTAAATGAAGGATGGAGAACAAAACAGGAGAGTATTTCAATTCAATCAACAACAAGTACCTGCATTAGTGCATTGCCAAGGCGCTCAGCCATTGTCATAAATTGAGGATTCTGCATGACCTGCTGCATGGTAGAATAGTATTGCTGTGTATCAAACTGAGGAATACCCTGCTGAGCAGAAGCACCTTGAAAAGTCTTCTGAAGTTGCGATGCCATCTGATTAAATGCAGGATCTTTTGCTATTTGAGAAGCTAATTCTTGAATGCTGGGATCCTGCATGGAAAAGAAAAGGTTCTTATGATTTACATAATTTGTAGACCTGAATATATAAAATTTCAATAAATGAAAACAAAATAGATGGCGGTCCTTCAGAAATTGAAAACATCTTAGACATGAAAGAAGTTATCGAACATTTAGCAAACCAGTCATTGCAGAGAAATCAAAAGGATTTGGAGGAACTTCTCCTTCATGAGGTGAGGCTGAGGGAGTTCTTGGTTTATCTGGCTGCTGATCTGCAGGGGGTGTTTCACTTTTGGGTATTTCACTTTTGGAATTTTTGTTATCCGATGAAACTGTCTTCTCATCTGCAAATGAAAAACGGATTATCAGAAAGAAACTCAAAGAGAAAAGAGTTCAGGAAAAGTTATAATTAGGAACTTATAGCATTAAAATTGCATGGCTCAGGTCACAATTATTAATTTAAAATGGGGTCGTTGATATTAAGCAGGTGAATGTAGAGGAAGAAGAGCCAAGAAGGTTTAAACTGAAGTTCTCTTTTATTAGAACATGAGACCCATGGTTAGCTTATCAGTTATCTCTATTCTAATTTATTCTTTACCGAAGTATAACCTCCCTAACATCAATTGAAAACCTCCCCTACACTCTAATTTGTTTTCTTCTCTCTTTCCACTCATCAATACCCTTGTGCTTCTTTGACCCCGGGCTTATATGACATATCCCAATCACGCCGACAAAAATTCTCTCTAGAATCAATAAGGGTGCACGACCCATCAAATCTTTTTGTTTTTCGCACGCTAAAATAGATGAGGTTCTACATGGAGTTGAATCCAGGTCGCATTGTGTCTATCAAACGATCCATTACCTCTATAGAGCATGCGACATTACAACTTAAGCCACAATATGATAATTCCACTCGCATTTTTTACTTCATCTGTGTTAACACCCAATTGAGAAGCTAATTAATCAGGAGACACAAGTATAGAAACATCCAATATCCTCCATTGCTAGGCATTTATAAGCGCTCAAAAGTAACGCGTAAGTCGAAACAGAAACTTCAAACAAAACAACCTCCTTGTTTCATATGAAAAGGAAGAAAAAAATCCACAAAGTAGACACAAAGAAAAGAAACACCCACAATCTAGGATGCAGACTATGAGTAAGCGATCGATGGGATTACTACAAAGGAATTAGGAACTTACCAGCTGCAACATCCTTGGTCGAACTGGAAGCCATGGCAGTGACTGAACTCAATTACAATAACAAAATGTAAGAACGGCTGAAACCAGCAGAATCTGAATTGAATACTAAAACTGGAGCAGAAGAAAAGAATCAGTGACGATTAAAAAAGTTGCTCACCACTCAAAGAAAGAACCTCTCAACTACTGTTAACTTCAAACACGGCCTGCGATGGAGATTCCGAGCTTGAACCTCGACCAGAGCCCGATGCGAGAAACTCAATCCAAAAATGGTAGCGAGGTCAGAACTTTGTAGATATGAAGATAAAGAATCACTCCATCTATCATCTATCCCCATCTTCCGTAATCTTTTTTCTTTTCCTTTCTCTCTTTTTTTAACATTTTTCAAAATAAAAAACATTTCTTTTCATTGTTAGCCATTTTTTTAATTAAAATAGAATATATGGGTTTCAATTTTTCAAATTTATCTAACTTTTTAAAATATTTGTAAAGTATAAAAATGTAATATATCGGTCTTCTTTCTTCTTCTTCTTCATTTTTTTTAGGTTTTTACAATATTTTATTATAAACAAGGGGAAAATAATTTTTAAAAATATGTTCCAAAATAATTCCTAAAATCTTGACATATAAAATAATGGTTTTAAAATTTATTTCACCACAATGTTTTTGGTTTTGAATTAAAGGAAGTGTATGGACACGCAAGCAAGCAAATAGGGCATAGCCAGAGTTTCGGTGGGCCACCTCAATCCTCATCTCTGCCCAACCAATGGCCATTCTCTGCCGATGAAATTTCCCTTTTCTTTATTTTATTTTAATTACCGGCAAGAGTTTGTGGTTGTAATTACGTGGCATTTCTTTTTATATTAATTAATTTTTGTAAGAGATTTCAAGGGAGGATACATCATTTTCCAAGCTTTCTTTTTTCTCTTTTTACTTGAATCCAAAGTTTTAAACGTGGATATATGTCTCAATTTTATTAAAAATATCCATAAATATATTGATAGATCGAAAAAGTTCCTAACAAATATCTAATTAACAAATAAACATTTTACTATTTTCGAATAAGCAAAAAGTATTAGTATTAATATGTGATATTTTTTTATTATATTTTATCGAATTTTTTTGATAGTATAGAAATATTGATCTATCTTTCATATCGCTGTCGAATGTGATAGATACTATAGAATCTAAATTACGTTTGACTTTTGTCCTCTCTCTTGGGTTTGTTTATAAATCTATATGGATGATGTTTTTATAAATTATTATGAATTTCAATATTTCTTTTTTTAGTACAATACGTTGGGGAAGAGATTCCAACTGACAACCTCTTGATTGGAAGTCTTTTATCCATTGGTTAATGATTTTAATATTTTCTAAAATATTCACTAAAAATATCAAAATATTGGTTAAATTATTAAGATAATTGATTTTTTTTAATTCAACCTATTTAGGTGGGAATTTGAAGCTTTGACTTTTTAATGGAATATAACGTTAACCCATTGTTGGGGACATGATTTGTTAGTTTAGATTTAATTCTAATTTGATCTTTATAATTTGGCTTAGTTTTATTACGAGATCTTCGTGATTCTAAAATTTTTAATTTGATTTTTATAATTTCATCATACATCATAAATCATCCCTGTCATTGCAAGTTATTATATTAAATATGCGACAAATTTTTTATTTAAGTCGCAATAAGTTAATATTTTATACTTTCCTAATTGTACCACGACTCTAGGATTAAATGAATAAACATGGAAATTTTGGTAGATTTTCAAGTGAGTAAAAAAAATTTATGTACAATTTGTCGAAATTGAATTATGGGGATCAAATTGAAACTTTGAAAATTAAAAGACCAAATTGATGCTAAGTTAACCAAAATTTGTAATTTAACCCTACAAACTCATCTTGAACCAAATGAAAATAGATTATATTAAGAGATATTCTTGGTGTTAGTTACGATTTAAATTTAATAATTCATAGTAGAAATGATAATTATATATTTTATATAATTAAACAATCATTTTATTGTGGTCAACTTGAGCTTGCTCAACTGTAATTGGTACTGACCAAGAGTTCTCGAGTCCCCATCTCCTACTAAAAAAATGCTAATAAATAATCAACAAATAGAACAATGAGTAGTGATCATGTAAATTAAACAATTATACGTATAACTTTTAAAATTCAATTAAGGTTTAATCATGGTGCTAATTTGATGCCTAAAGATAATCAATATTTATTAAAAAAAAAAAAGAAAAGAAGTAAAAGTTATACGAAACATGAAGCATAGTTTCTTGTTCATGTATATGGTGTATTCAATTTTGTTAGAATATACCATGAAAAATATGTTGTGAGTTGAAAATTATTACCATACTGTGTTGTTAACAAAAATTATATACAATAATTTTGAGAGATGTTGCTATTAACAAAAATTCTGTACAATAATTTTGAGAGGGGCTTTTGCTAATTCTTTTTTTATATATCTTTAACCAGGATAAGTTGGTCTAAGTTGGTCTATTGACCTAAATGATCAAAGAAATTTAATCTCCTATGTTTACTTGGCAACTAAATGTAATATGGTCATGTAGTGTTGTTCCGAGATTAGTCGAGGTACATTCACATCAACCAAGGCATACCATTACTCAATCGTGTTCAAAATTATGACTATGAATCTCTCTCTACTTAGTACACATTTTTCTCGACAAGATCTCACCGCTCACCTGCCCAACACACTACTTTCATGATTCACCTAACATCTCTATATACTGTTTGCTATGTGTAAGATCATTGAGGTATCAGTTTCTATATTCTCCAAAGCTCTATTTAATTATTCGCTTGACATCGTTTAATTTTCCCTTAGGGTAAGTTGTTAAAAATTTGATGGTAAAATTTTGTGAGTATAGTTTTTCAAATAGTTGATGTACTAGTAATCTCCTTCGAAGGTTCAAACTCGCACTCCTCTTTGAAAAAAAAACGTTGATAGTAAATTTTCAGGATCTATGTATATAGTATATTAATCATCATGGGTGATTCATTGGTACAAAGAGACTAAGATTAATTAAGAGGGAATTGGTTATAGCCACCTACCTTAGAAATCAGTAATTTCAGGCTCGTTTGGTAACATTTCTCTGTTTCTATATTTTTAATGAAGAAAAATATATTGCATTGTTCCAACCTCTAAGAATTAATGATAAAACAATCTTTTTATTTATGTTTTGGAACAAATTGGGAATGGGAACAAGAAATGAGAAACTAGTTTTGGTTGTTTTCAAAATTTATATGCAATTGTGAAAATGTTCCCAGAAAAGGAGAAAGAAAAAACAAAGTTAATTGAACAATATTTAGATTTCTTAAAAAAACGGAAAATGAGAAATAAGAAACAAGAAAGGGAATGTTAGCAAACGAGCCTTATATGTTTTTCAACACCAAATCCTGTAGGATCAAGTAGTGGTCCCATCATAGCAGCCAATAAAAAACAAGTTAACAAAATACTCTGTGAAATTTAACCAAACAATAGTAACATAACCCATATTAGAATTAGGTCCAAAACATATGAACTAAATTAAAATTTTCAAAATTATAGAGATTTTTATTTTTTGGCTAAATTATTCAAAACGCTGTTCAACTTTGAGGTTAGAATTATACTTTTTCTTATTTTGAAAATTCCACATATACCCTTGGCATTTAAATTTGATTTAAACATGCTCTTGAAAATTTATATTATTAAAAGCAACGGAACCAATGTAGCTGCTAAGTTGTAAATGGAGTGTGTTAGACATGACATATACAAAATCAATGGCACAACGTGATAAATACTAATAATTTACTGTACCATCATTGATTTGTGGGTAAGTTAAACCTAACTTACAAAATGATTACTTAATAGTTGTAAGTATTTGTGACGTTTACCGTTTATTTTTAAAAAGTTATACATGTGTCACTATTTCATTGAATTCGAACTTATGACCTTCTGATTAGAGATAGGTGCCTTAACYACTTGAGTTATGCTTTAATAATGATAACATGTTAATGATTAATTGTTGTTAAGGTATAATTAATTTTAAAAATAAACTAGAAGTGAAAAAAGGTAGAATTGAAACTTAACTAAAAGTTGAAGGCATAGTTTCTTTTTATTTTTATTTTCTTTTGTAACATGATAAATTACAGATAACAATTGGAACATAGTTAAGTGGTTAAAAGTAGCTATCTTTATCAAAAGGTCTTCAATTTGAATCCCACGACAAAAAAACATAAATAAGTAATTTAACCTAAAATAAATTAAATAAAACATAAAACAAATTATTTTAACAAACGAATATTAATTTGCCAAAAAAAACTCATCTCCTCCTCCTTTTTCTCTTGTTATTTTTCATTTATTTCAACAAAAGAATATTAATTCCGAGTGCAACGTAATATCAAAGATTTCAAGAAGCCCCAGCAAAATACTCACTCTGTATCCTCCGTTCGCGCTTCGTGAGTATCTCTCACCTTGTCGGTTGTAAGTTCTCGACCTAGATCTCAAGCTTTTTGCCTATTTCTTGGTGTATGATTTCGTAGTTTGTGGATCTAATGCATATATTTCTCAGATTGTTTCGACTATTCATTTCATCAGTGCTTGTGGAAATTGAATTGAGTCGGATTTGTTCATCTCCGAGCCTGTTTTTTAAGATTCTTTTTGTTATTTATTCGAAATAGATTTGCGTAGAATGTGTGAATCTCTCGCGTTTCTTCCATGCAACCGCTAAATAACTCAGATCTAATGTGTTTTCTTTTTAATCTCACACATTCTCACTTTAGTAGTTACAGCTATCTTTTATTTTTCTAGATCTTCTCACTCGTCTGTTTTTTGTTTATGTTGTAAATTATTGTTATTTGTTTTGCTAGCGAGTGGATCTTTTTAAAGCCGGTTGGATTTGTAATGAGATTGTTGCATTTCTTTCAGTTTCCAATGGCCTCCTCCAGTTCGAGGAAGCCCTCAATCTGTCGGGTTTTCCTCATGTTTCTGGTTGTTGCCTATCGTTGCGATGCGTTCTATCTTCCCGGAAGCTACATGAATGTTTACTCCTCTGAGGATCCTATACTTGCCAAGGTTAATTCCCTGACGTCCATAGAGACCGAGCTTCCATTTAACTATTATAGTCTCCCCTACTGCAAGCCACCGGGTGGTGTCAAGAAAAGTGCAGAGAATCTTGGGGAGCTGCTGATGGGTGATCAGATCGACAACTCTCCTTATCGTTTTCGCATGAATGTCAATGAAACAATCTACCTTTGTACTACCGACCCTTTGAGTGAGGTTCAAGTGAAGCTTTTGAAACAGAGGACCCGTGATCTCTATCAGGTAAAC